CCCCAAAACCCCAAAACCCCAAAACCCCGCTTTGCGTTTTTAATAAGATTCCATAGATTATTTTACAAATTAAATAATATTCAACAGAATTTTCTCTTTATTGTTTGGTTTAACAGCTGAGTACTTCTAGAGTCTGCTATCAGAGGCTTGAATTATTGATTTTTTCTAGCCTGTATTTGCTTTTTTCTTATCTCATATTCCTTTTAAGATATATTTGCTCTTGTATACTAATTTTATGCGCAACTAGAAACTGTAGATGCAACTGATAAACAATTATTTTCATTTCTTTACTTTAAGTCACTTTGATTAGATTGCTTTTCAAAATTCAATAAATTTCCTTTGCTAAGTTACAAGTTTGACTAAACCTTTTACAGCTATATCATTGATTAGTTATCCTCATCATGTATATTAAAAGATTATGCTACTGGTTTTATAACATTAAATTGCCTCATTGATTTATTATTACTAGTCTCATTTAATGACACTCTTTTATTTAGATTTTGTGAATTCATACTCTCAACAATATTTGAAAGCCTTTTAGTTTAGTTATTTTATGAAAAATTTAGCTAAACTTGTGTATCCTTCATTCTGTTTTGAATATCATATGTTAAAAATTATGTCTTCATAAATTTATCCATTCCCTTTTTTAAAGCACTATTCATTTTATCGAAATCACGATTCTTTTTATTCTATTCCAATTTCAATTATTGAGCTAACAATATTTTTCTGTTTGAGCGTTCCATTCCCTCATCTTATTTTTTCTAATCCTCAATTATGTTTTTAATCTTTTCTAAGACTACTTTACTCTTATCATTAACTTATTGTCTTTGAAGGTAATCTTGAGTCTCAATCTATTAATTTTGATAATGCTCTTATCTGCATTCTTGATTTTAAAAAATCATGTTGTAAACTCCTTTATCTCCAAATTCATCATTTTGGAGTGATTTTTTCTACAATTCTTGAATATGATATTCACTTAATGGCATTACTTAATCTTTGATATATTTTTTTCTTGCTTCAATAGACTTGTTTTATCTTATATTTCTCAATTAAAGAGTCTCACCTAAGAATGTTTAAACAAAACTGTCGCTGTCAGTTGCTTACATTTTTAACTTTTTAATATTAACTTCTTATTCTTCCTTTACTAGTTTACATTCTTAAAATAACTTGTCAACAGAATAGTTTCTTGCTTCTTATTTCTTTTTAAATGCACTCTAGAATGGATCTTACTAAGATGAATAAAATGCCCAATCAGGTGGTTCATAATCTTTAGTGTATTCTCGAATTCTTTCAAATTTGTCTTTAAACTGATGATTGTTAGAACTACAATCATTGATTAACAAATTTTAATCCACTGTCTTGTAATAGATGTGGTCACTAATCTCAGGCATCATTATATTGTTTTCATCATTTACAAAAGTTGCCTTTACAGTATTGATCCTAGATTATGATGTAGATGCTCCTAAAACACAAGCCATTGTCGTAGAATCATTCCTTACCATAGTCTTACTTTCATGATTAGGCCCACATTAATTGAATGTAACTCTCATTCTGTCTTTTTCAGAAGACTATTAAGCAATTTAGTCTCTTTGCTTTGTAGCAACTTACTAAATAAGTTTTTTTCTCTATTCTTTTAAATTACTTTCATGATTTAGTGTATCACCCATTCTGCTGTTATAGGAGTGATTGTTCTCATACTTCTTTTTACCTCCGAAAAATAATTCTTATGTCCTCTCTTGAGAATTGTTCTTACTCTGAATCTAGGATTATACTTAGTTATTTCTATGAATCCTCTCAGTTTATTGATTATTTTTCATTTTAAACATGATTGGGTTCTTCTTTTCACTGAACTGCAATTTATAAGCTTATTCATTATGATCATTGAATCCAATCTAAACTTGACTAAAATTCTTGTAGTTTAATGCTCCCTTAGCCCTCAACTAAGTGGCATCATACTCAGGTGATTATATAATTCTATTCTGCGAAGTATCCTCTCTATCATTCTTTCTAGAATTTGATTGGTTTTAATGATTATTAAAACTCAGCTAAGATTGGCATGTTTCAAATGTCTTTTTCTAACTACCTCTGTTCTACGCTGGAGTTATGTTCTTAGATTTCTCTTCAGTAAACCTATTAGTTGCATCTCCAAACACAGATTTCTCACTTTTAAATGTTGGAGAAACATACCTATCATTTTTCTTTCCGTAATTACTAGGAGTCTATAGATTGATATCAATGATATATATATAAAAATTTTTACTTACTCCAGGGTTAATAGGATTATTGATACCTAGGTTTTGACGAAATTTTTGATACATATGATCATCATCATTTTTTCTACGCCAAGTAGACTCTGAATCTTGCATCATTAATAAATTAGCTGCAATCACAAATATTAAATTTATATTTCTAGTTGTTAATTTTATTCCCTTTATTAAACCTAACTCAAAAAGTTACTCTCAATGAATGGGGTTTTGGGGTTTTGGGG